ACGGCCAGAACCGACGCCAGGATTTCGTCATCCTCCCAGTCTGTCAGACCTGAAACACCAATTTTCTGTCTTAAATTCACAGTAATTCAAGTTCAACTACCAGTTTTAACTGACTATAAGTCGCAGATTTTTTTCCCTTCTTGGCTTTGTTTTGCGACTTTCACCTGTTCGTTTTTTTCACACTGATAGCCGCTAGAGGGCACTCTAGGCTTGCGTACCAGTATCTGCTACTCCAGTAAAACTGAAAATGTACACGTTTGTTATTTTCAAAGTGACAGTCGCTAGAGGGCACTCTAGCTGGCGGGTGCGACTTATACTCCGGAGCGACTTATGTTTATGTTTTTCTCTTGTTCATTATGCATTTTTTGGGGCTGGTCCGATACTATTTGCCAACATCCAATAAGCCGATATTGTCCAAACACTTGATTGCCAATTCCGATATCAACCGATAAGTGGAAGTTAAAGAAGTGGGTTTGTCAATTATTTTCTGCACCTCTAGGAAACAGAATTGAAACGCTATAAAATGGTATAAAATGAGCACCGGGTAATATTTATTTATTTACAGTAATACATAGAGATACGAGTGTCCCGACATGTGAGTACTATCGCGGTAGTTCCGCGAAATTCCGTGAAGTAGGGGCGAGAGAGGTTTTATTTTATTTACGTGCATATATATTTACAGTTTACGAACCTCCCCCACAAACTTTTTTCACAAATTGTTTTTAATTGTTCTAGGTTGAAAAATGGTTTTGCATCACAAAAATAATGAAAATATTAAAAAAACAAAAAAAACGCAACAAACTTCCACAGAACGGATTCAGTAAAAACCTGCGATGTATTGAGGGAGCGAAAGGAGTACTGCGATGACAGAGAGGGAACACCGTATTCCGAGATACTAGCAAGCTTTCGAACCAAACGTTTGCTTTGAGATACAAGTAAAGATTTGAGATGCGAGCACGGTTACAGACGCCAACACTAGGTGGCCGAGCACTCGGAGCAGCCCCCCCCCGCCTCACTCATTCGCTTCACATATTCGTCAACTTCCGCCAAAACGCATAATGACCATGAAAATAAAGCATGAAGAAGGAGGCTATCAAGAACGTAAAATCCTTCCAAGGGTGTGACGTTAGAATATAAATGATGAGACGGAGAGGCTTCTTCTAAGTTCTTGAATTCAATTCTAAGGTTATGTAACTTACGTAGTGTACGGAATCAATTGTCTACGTACTTTCCCCCTTCCTCTATCCCTCCTCCTCCTCCGCACATGCCGCCATTAGCCTCTACTGTATCGTCTGTCCCGAAGGTCTCATAATAAAACTCATATTTAAAACCACATTTTATTTTATATCGCAGGAATCCTTATATACTTATATCCTTATAATTTCTTTTGTTTTCTTCGAGGGCCGGAACGTATTAATTTCCTTCCTGTTTTTTCTTATGGGAAAAAATTTGAAATACAATGTTGTACAATGTTCTACGTCGTAAAGTTCATGGGTTCCATGAACGCACCATGTCGTAGCGCGCACATGCGCAGTATGTTCTGTTCCTTGTGTTGGAGCCAGGTGGCTTGGTAAAGTGCTTGTCAAGTTCTACCTCAAACCGGTTTTGCGTGAGCTATGGCCAACAACAGTGCTCATTACAGGTGAGATAAAAAAAAAACCCATTCTGAAAAAATAAAGCCCTGAGAAGACAACATCTGGACATCAGGTCTTTATTGACTATTGACTAATATTTACGTTTTCCCTGACGTCACATGACCTTGTTTACTTTACTAAAGCGATGCTTTTGCTTATACTGAGCTTGCACCTGGAGTCAAGACAACCCTTTTGTTTGATAGCAAACCCCGACTCGGCAACACCCGAAACAATGCTGTAAACCTTATCATTAAAATGATAAAAAAAAATTTTTTATCCTTGTTCTTTTTTTATTTCAGTAACAGCTGACGTACTTTTCACATTTGATGCCCAGTTACATTTGTCCAATTTAAAACCACTGAATGAGTTGATGCCACCTAGTGACTGGAGGCTAGCATACTGTCCAATGGTGTAAATGGTTAACAAGAGACAAGTGGCAATAAAACGGATTGGTTGAAGGTGGTGTAAAATGAACACCTGATAATATTGCAAAAGAAACCGTTATTTTTTTGAATTCTCGCTTTCCTTTTGCTGTTGCTCATTCTTGCCTAGTGAAGTTGGCAATGCTAGCATAAAATAGACAGGTTTTTCACAGGGAACTTCCATGTAAATGTATAGCAGAGAATGAAGCATCGGTGTGTGTGTGTTTCCGGGTTTTTTTTTTTTTTTTTTTTGGGTGGTGGGAGAGAAAGTTTGGGAATCGCTGTCCTAGATTATCAGCGTATTATCAGCGAGAGTGTTAGCATAGCCGCGTGTAAGTACTTATTGTACAGCATGTGAGTTCTGACTTTCTTTACGAGTGAAATTCTCGTAAGTCGCTGTAGTGCAAATATTAAGAGTCCAGTTTTAATTGACTGTCTGTTCCAGACTTCGGTCAGACACGGACTGAGAAGATGGTTGGCTAATCAAGGTAGCTCTAGAGGAGAAGGTGATGGATACTAGTACCCTGTGTAAGTGTGTAAGTGTGTGTGTCTCCCTCACCAAATGCTGTAGGAGACATCTCCTGCATAATGGCTCTGTACTCCAGATGATGACGACTTTGATTACTGGGACCTACAGACATGTACAGGGACACATAAAAAAAACTTTACTACAAAAATATTATTACAGCATTTTTTTTTTTAAACCCAGGCCTGGCCTGGATCACATAAATATGCCAGTAACCAGGGGTCAATGCATGCATGCATTAGTGCATATGTGTCAAACACAAGGCCCGGGGGCCAAATGCGGCCCGCCGAGCCGTTTTGTGTGGCCCGCGGGAGTTTAAAAAATATTTAGTAAAGTCCATGCAGCAGAGTTTCTTACCTGAGTTATTAAACAGTTTTTTTTTACTACACAGCAAATGAACAATATTTGTAATAATAATCAATTACAGAAACATGTATTAGGCTGTTACGGGGTAGTTAGATCTATACCAGCGGTGCCCGACCTTTTTTGTTGTTGCCTGGGACCTGCATCCATCCATGACCTCGGACCTATTACTTTAAAATATTGCCAGATTATCTTTGAATACATTTTCTTTGAATTCAGTAAATTAGTAAAACTCAAGTAAACACTGTGTCCCACTGCGGCCTGGTACCAAATGACCTATGGACTGGTACTGGT